ATTCCCCAAATGGCTGCAATGGCCGGAGCTGTGCCGATCCGAAAGCCAGGAGCCAGAAGCGTCCTCTGGGTCTCCCATGTGAGTGCAGGGGCCCCAGCACTTGGGCCATCTTCTACTGCTTTCCCAGGCCATAACAGAGAGCTAGGTTGGAAGTAGAGCAGCTGGGACTCAAACCAGCTCCCATATGGGATGCTGGCACTGCAGGCGGGGGATTAACCTATTGTGCCACAGCGCCAGCCCCTAAATAAATCTTTTAAAAAAGAAAAGGGCCAGCACTGTGGCATAGCGTGTAAAGCTGCCGCCTTCAGTGCCAACATCCCATATGGGCATGGGTTCAAGTCCCAGCTGCTCCACTTCAGATCCAGCTCTCTGCTATGGCCTGGGAAAGCAGCTGAAGATGGCCCAAGTCCTTGGGCCCCTGCACCCACATTGGAGACCCAGAGGACGCTTCTGGCTCCTGGCTTTGGATCGGCACAGCTCCGGCCATTGCAGCCATTTGGGGAATGAAGCAGCGGGTGGAAGACTTCTCTCTCTGTGTTTGCAAATCTGCCTTTCAAATAAATAAATAAATCTTAAAAAAAAAAAAAAAAAAAAAAAAAACTCCCCTGTGGGGAGCAACTGGGAGCAACTCGGACTAGACTGTTACTGGAATTAAGACTTATTCTGTGCATCTGCTCTCCCACAATATGGCGCTGGGAGAGGAGGAAACAGCTTCTACCCAGCTGCCTCTCACCAACTTGACAAGCTGCAGGACCTGCTCCTGATTGGAGGAGAGCAGCGTACTCGGGGTGTGGGTAGCAGAGTTGGGATTGGTGGAAGAGGACTATAAAGGAGGAGAGAGACAACATGCACCAGGAACATCTAAGGGGAACATCTATCTGAAGGAACACCTGAGCAGCCCCCGAGAGAGCCGGCCGGCGGTGTGCCGCTCCCCCGCGGAAGTGGGGAAAGTGGCTAGGGGGAACCGCCCTTCCACGGAGGTGGAAGGGACGGTAGCCAACCCGGGAAGAACCAGCAGCAAACCCGGGGAGGGCCGAGCAGACAAAAGAACAGCGCAGGGTCCTGTGTCGTTCCTCCACGAAGAGGGGGAGTGACACTCCCCAAGTGCTCTGTTGTTCAGCTAGGGTTAGTAACCATAATGTTTAAGCCTAATAGGTCATTCAACAGCTGTCCTATCAGCCAGTTCATGGTGATATACCAATATGCGTGAGCAGTGACTTGCATTTAACCTGGTCAAAGAATGGTTTGACCTAACTGAAAACCTAATGCTGCATATTTTAGACAGTTCCACGAGTCAGTAGACAGTTCTTTCAGCACTAGCAAATTATTATACCAGCCTGACACTAAACAGACTGGTTTTGGGTTTTATTCCAGGTAATTGAAAGTGAGGCAGCCGGCGCCGTGGCTCAATAGGCTAATCCTCCACCTTGCGGCGCCGGCACACCGGGTTCTAGTCCCGGTCAGGGCGCCGGATTCTGTCCCGGTTGCCCCTCTTCCAGGCCAGCTCTCTGCTATGGCCAGGGAGTGCAGTGGAGGATGGCCCAGGTGCTTGGGCCCTGCACCCCATGGGAGACCAGGAAAAGCACCTGGATCCTGGCTCCTGCCATTGGATCAGCGCGGTGCGCCGGCTGCAGCGGCGGCCATTGGAGGGTGAACCAACGGCAAAGGAAGACCTTTCTGTCTGTGTCTCTCTCTCACTGTCCACTCTGCCTGTCAAAAAAAAAAAAAAAAAGAAAGTGAGGCAATAATAGATATGACTGTCCTCATATTGTGGCAATCAATTTAAATATTTACCTAAGAATCAGGAAGATGAATAGTCACGATTTCCTGTATCATTAGAGTTCTCAGCAGGACACTGTTCACCACTTCAAAGTGTATGTATTCGTATATACAGGGCTTTTCCTTCTACTGTAACCAGGCTTCCTTGTCTCCTTCCCCTAGCCTTTATGATCTGGTTTTTTAACATTTTGTGGTTTGATGTTTTATACAGGTAATAGGTCATAATATAGTGGTTAAGAGAACAGGCTTTGGAGCCAAACTACCAGAGTTTCAGTCTTAACTTTATTACTTAGTAGTTCTCGAGGTCGAGAGGCATAAGCAAACTGCCACTTCTCTAGAAACTCTGGGAAGTCTTGGCATAGCCCAGCCCCTGTACTGGGCCCTGGAGATACAGCAGCGGATGGGACATCCCAGTCCCTGCCATCCATCCGATGTGGGAAGGCTGTTAATGAATAAATAAACAGGGTGACTTCCCGTGACCAGTGCGATGAAGGAAATGAAATGAGGTACCTTGCTGGAGAGTGAGAGAGAAGCTGTGGTCACTTGGTCAGGAAAGGCCTCTGCAAGGAGGTGAAGTTTGAACTCCAGGACTTGAGTGATGAGAAAGCACGCAAACGAATTGTCTGGGTTAATGAGGGAAGGCCACCTGAGCTCTTCACAGGTTTACTGGGCAGGGGGCCAGCTTGCCTTTAACTCTGGGTCCTCTGGCTGTCACCCTGTCACCTCGCCTATACCCCAAATCTCCTGAAAGAATGATCTAACACTCGATGTCCCTGCGTGCTTGCCCCCAGTCTGCTCTGCTACAGCCCCAGCGTCTGTCCCTGCCCTCCACCAGCACTGCTGTCCTCAGGTCTGCCCCAAACTGCTCATGGCCACGGCCACAGCCACGGCCTGTGTTATCCTCCAGCCTTTGGCACTGTGGAGACTGCCCCTTCCCTTCTTTAGGCTCAGTGACATGAATGACTGCTCAGGGTTTCCACTGGGAGCTCAGTCTCCCAGGTCCCTCCCCCTCTATCTCTCCGTCAGTGCCGGGGCTCTGCTCCTGGACCTATTTGCCCTGCCACCCTAGATGATCTCAGCCACCCTCCTGGCTTCACCTGCCATGTACCAGTGAAAATCTGGTGTCTCTGCCGTGGGCACTGGCCTTTCTCAGCGCCGTCAGACTCACACACACACACACACGCTGTCTGTGGGAACCCCTCTTGGGTGCACCAGCCCACTGCAGCCTTAACTCTTTACTCCTCGCTCCCTCCTGCCACCGCCCCCTGGTTCACCCACCATGGTGAACCACACTTGGTGCTCTTCACTCCCTCTTTTTGCTGCTTTTTCTGCTTCTGGACCCCCCCCCCCACCCGAGCCCCTCACTGTCACTGTGGGTGGCTCACTCCTGTTCATGCACTTGACTCACAGCACAACACTCTGGGAAACGTCCACCTCTCCTGGGCCTGGGTTGGAACCCACCCACGGTGACCCAGGCCCCTTCCCTGTGCCTCGGTTGTGGCGTTTATAGCCTCGGTAACTCCTTGCTCGCCCCTCTCCCACCACTCAGCAGGCTCTTCAGCATCTCGTAGGATTGCATGTCCGCAGGACCCAGGGGAAGGTGTCTCCATCGCTGTGTCCACAGCACCGCCAGACAGAGCTTGGCCGAACGAGGGCCCGTGAGCTCTCAGCTGACATTCCAGGGTCGGCCCTTCTTTTCCTGCTCTTCCCTTTGCTGTACCCTCGTTCATGCCCCAGCTCTCCCCGTGACTTCCTTTGGCATCAGCCTGCTGCCTTGAATATATGCTTAGGAGTCTGTCATAAGCCTTTTCCTTTGTACAGTCATTGACTAGAATGTGACTGCAAATTACTTTGATGCCTCCCTTTTAAGTAGAATAAAAATAGATAATTAAGGCATATTTGTACTAGGGATTCATAATTACTATAATGAATGTGCATTATGGAAGAGACTACCTAATTACCAAAACCCCTTGTATTTAAATAGAGAAAATTAGATTTCAAGTTAACAATACCAAATATTTTAAGGAAAATGGAGTTGTTTGTTGTCCAGAAAGAAAGAGGAACTCATACCCATTATCATCTCTCCTCGCAGGGTGCTCCATGCCAGAGGAACCATTGTACTGTTGCTTAGTGAGAATCACTACCGGTGCCTTAATGACCGTGAAGAGAGCAGCCTGCCTGTGAATTCCAAGGGCAGCCACACAGATGAACCTGGACCTGAAAAGTGCTTGAACCCTGAAGAAAGCATCAACGTACCAGAGACAGCTTCGTCTTCACAGGGAGCCAGTAACCAGGAGTACTTCCGGAAAATGTCGCCGTTTGGCTCTTTGGTCCCCGAGGAATGCTACAAAGTTAGCCTTGGGAAAACAGAGGCGTTCATGTGTAAATACAGGAAGGCGCACTCTTCGGGACCATAGCAGGCTGCTGCCACCAGCCAGCTCCAGCTCTTTATCCAGAGTCCTAAGCGAACAAATTCCCCAAAGACTTGGCTGATTGACACGTTTTTAGTAAGAATCTCTGTGCTCTCCTCTGAACTGCATAATGTTTGAGAGCACCTGGCTCCTGGTTTAGAGGTGAATATTTAGGTTTTGTATCTGTCAGAAAGCCCTGCTCAGCCTTGAATTGTCTCTGAGCAGACGTTTCAGCTTCAGGGCTTGACACGAGTGTGTCACGGTCAACTCGAGCTCAGTGATACGTTAACTTTCAGATTTCTAGAAATGGAGAAACCTTTACATGCAACTTCTTTGGATATTAAACTTGATTATATAATTTTCTCCTCTATTGGAATGAAGATAACTGGTGTTTGCAGTACATTTTTATATGTCATATCATGTAAAACATCAGTAGGAAGAATTTGAATTAAACGAGTATCCTCCAACCTGATGGAAAATGAAATTTGCTTCTTTCCTAAAAGCATGAATAAATTGTCACCTCACCCATATTTGTAGAAGTTCGATGTGTTTCTTAAGTTCCACTGCCTTGTATAAAAGAAACAGGATGTTGATGGAGACCTGGGTTGCGAGTTCACATTTTTCACTGGCCTGATAGAGTGTCTGAGCTCCGGCCTTTCAGAGGTACACCCTCCCCTGTGTTTAGGGCATTCTGACCTTGTGAATCTCAAGTCTCCGTAGTAGCAGCCTGAGAGCTCGCTGTCCAGGCAGGCTGTGGTGTGCAGCCCGGGCCCCGGTGTCAGCGTGCACTCACACGTGCCGGCTGTGGCACTGGTGCCCAGTGGCAGCAGCAAGGCAGCATCTCCTGAACACTCAGCCTGAGCTTTCAGCAGTGCTGCCTGTGTGCTAAGCTTGTTGTCTCTGGCCTTCTCATCAAATGATGAGAGCTACTTACTCATCCTGAGCACATTCCTGTTTTGCTATTCAGGGTGGCTAAGTAGCAGCCAGAACTCTTGTATGAAGATTAATACTCTTAGGGGTTTCAAGCAAGAAGCTCCCCCCTTCCCCAAATGTGAAGCCCTTTATTGCTTACCTGGTCTAGTTGGGTTAAAGGCAGTGAGGAGGGGCTGGTGCTGTGGCGTAGTAGGCTAAGCCTCCGCCTGTGGCACCAGCATCCAATATGGGTGCCAGTTCATGTCCTGGCTGCCCTCTTCCGATCCAGCTCTCTGCCGATGGCCTGGGAAAGCAGTGGAAGATGGCATAAGTGCCTGGGCCCCTGCATCCACATGGGAGACCTCGAGGAAGCTCCTGGCTCCTGGCTTCAGATCGGCTCAGCTCTGGCCATTGGCAGCCATTTGGGGAGTGAACCAGCAGATGGAAGACCTTTCTGTCTCTCCCTCTCTCTCTCTAACTCTGCCTCTCAAATACATAAATAAATAAAATCTTACAAATAAAAAGGCAGTGAGGATAAAGTTTGTATTTTACAAAGTTTAGGGCACATGATGATGAAACAATTGGTCATTCCAATCTTCTGTCCCCCGGGGAGCACTCAGCAGTACCTGCACACATTTTTGTTTACTACAACTCGTGCGGAGAAGAGCAGTGACTGGCATCTGGCAAATACAGGCCAGGGATGCGGCCAGAGGCACAGGACAGCCCCTGGCAACAGAGAACCACCTGCTTCAAAATGTCAGCTGTGCCCAAGCTGAGAAACCGGCTCAAGGCCTCGGAGGAGGTGCTAGGGATTTCTCAGGACTACGTCAAGAGAACTACTTCTGGTAGCTGTAGGACTGAAGTGCCTGCAAAGCAAACTCAAGAATCTGATCCTGTTGAATGCCGGATTGTATGTATCACTTGAGCTCAGTTTAGTTGGGTCTCCTAGGTGGAAATTAGGGTTCTGTTAGGAAACGGGGGAGGGGGTGGGCAGGGGGAAGGAGGAGCCTGAGCATTGGAATGGAGATGCAGGAAAGGATTTGGGTGGATTTGGGTGGCTCACGCACTTCAAACCCCGCTCAGCCTTTACGGAAGGGGCTGTGCTTGAAGATCCTAAGGGTAAGCCCTGTTCCCTCACAGGGAGAAAGTTTTCTTCATGCTGTCTTGCCTCACTGCTTCTTGGGATTGAAACTAAAGGCGGTGCTCGGCAAGTCTTAAGGCCCTAGGGGGAAGAATTCCAAACATCGACAACTGATCAAGTAGAATCTTAGTGAATATGAGAGGATGGATTACATCAGGCCAGAAAAAAACAGCTATGATTTTAAATCAAATTGAATTTGTTAATACGGGTACGTTCATTCGTTCTAGAATGAGCAGCTAGGATGCCTTCTCAGGCAAGAGGAAATGGTAGTAATGGTGGGCGGCAGGTGGAGTCTGGCTGTTTCCTAAGTCGGACCCACAGGTGTGGTGTGACAGATGAAGGAGACAGGAATGATTGCTGGATTTTTGACCAAGCACCTGGTGACAGGGGAAAGGCTGCAGGGGACTGAGGGGGCAGGTTTGGGAAAGATAGCAGAAGTTGAGATTTGGACTTGCTAGTCTAGACAGCCTAATACAGACTTGTCTAATCGAGACAGACCAAAATAGCAAGATTTGCTTGCTAGACAGTTTTAGACTTGCTAATTTTGAAATGTGCATTAAGCATAAAGTGGAGATGTCAAGTATGCAATTGAATGTGTGAGTCTACAGTTTGAGAAAAAGGTCGGCTCTGGAGATTTGTCTTCGGGATTGTCAGTATTCAGGGGGCAGGTATTCATGCAGGATGAGACCACCTAAGGAGTGAATGTGGAGTAAAGAAGACGACCAGGGCTGAGGCCTTGATTCCAACAACACTGAGAAATGGGGAGAAGAGGGAATCCACAAAAGAGACAGAGCTGGAGCAACCAGTGAGATAGGAAGAAAGCCAACAGTGTGGCTGCCTGGGAGGCCTGTGAACACAGGGGATGGAGGGGAGAGCGGTGAGCCCTATAAATGTAGCTAAGCCTCGAAGGAAGACAAGGACTGGAAACTGACCACTGGACTTAGCAGTGAGGCAGCCATAGTAGCCTTGTTAATGGGACTTTAGGCGGAGTGAAGAGGGAGCAAATCCAGATCGCAGGGATCTTATACAAGAAAATAGGAAAACAGCTGGTGGTCGTGGGCATGGGTAACACTTTCAGCAAGACGGTGCAGAAGGGGAGCAGAGAAATGGAAGTAGTAAGTTGTTAGTGTTGTGGAATCAAGAGAATTTGTTTTCTTATTGGAGGGAATCTTCCAGAAGGGATGAAACATTGAAGAAGTTGAAAAAAAAGGATAAATGTGGGAGCAATGTCCTTGGGTAAGAGTGGAATGCAGTCCACAAGTGGAGGAATTGGCTGTAGTGAGAGCATAAAGAATTTATCCACGATTAGTGATAGGGAGGAGGCATCTAGGCATTTATGCAATAATATAATTATATTCCTAAAATATTTTTCATTCTCATTTCATGCACTGAAAATAACAAAATTTATGAAAAAGTAGGGTCGGGACAGACCATTCCAGACCTATGCAGCTTTGCAACCTGAGCACTAAGAGAAACATCAATCTCAATTTTTTAAAAAATGAGCACAGTTAAGAAGGCTATGTTATATTCCTGGTCATAGTCATCTACAACAGTAAACAGAGGACTTTGCCTTTCTAAGGACAGGACATCAGCGTTGCGACAGAACTGGGCACAAGAGGGTGGAAGAGGCTGAGTTTTGCAATAAGCACTTGCAAGGCAGAAGCTGTGGGCAAGCAGAGCCGAGAGGAGCATGCAGGGCTGGACATCAGGTCAAGTACGTCGTTCTGCAGCTCGCACATTCAGCTCCTTCCATGGGCGCCCTTTGCATTCGGCTGTGACACAAAACATTAACATGCTGAGGAGGAAAAGTCACTCAGGAACCAACCCAATTTCCATATGATAGAGACATCATCCCTCTCCTTGAGTTACTGCCCATGACGGAAAGCTGCCTTGTAGAACAGACTGGGAGTGGGAGCAGGTGCTGGAAGGTAGGCGGTGTGGTGGTGGTAGACTGTGGAAGTTCTCTCCTTACCGCTCCAATTTTCTCAGTGAAAAACCTACGCTCTGGTTTACCCAGTTCCTGAGTCTATAGTTGGAGTAGCTACCCCCAGGAACTGCAGAGTCCCCGCGTGGCTTTCTGACCCATGCAGGAAGCGTGTCGAATATTGGAAGGAACAAGGTCATATTCCATAGGCTCTCTCTTCCCCCTGAAGTACTCTATCTTCGCAGGAGCTGCAGATGTTAGTCCCACCAATCAAATTGGCACAGATGTTTGAGGGAACTCCGGCATCTGAAGCAGCAGCCAGTGTCACCCTCGGATTTGCTTCTGTGATCATTGTTAATGGAGGCCCGAAGAAGGGAGGGGTCTGCAGCCAGTCCAGCGCCCACGACAAGGTGCCCTGCATCAATGCCCTTATGACCCAGGGGATCTAAGGGTGCCCGGGGTGTCTGTGGCAAACCTGGATGCTGCGTGGAGCCTGCAGCCAGTCTCCACCGGGGAAGCACAGCTGCAACCTCTTAGCTTCTGGAGCAACGCCATGCTCTCTTGGCAAAAAATTGTTTTCTTTTTGGAAAATAACTTCTGGCTTGCTACAGAGGCCCTGGCTATAGGGCATTAGGTGATCACGTGATCTAACCACTGGGAGTGATCTGATCCATGACACCAAGAGTTCCACGGCCCGGCCCAGCAGCACGCCCCCGTCAGGGGGAAGCTGTATCTGCAAGCATTGAGCTGACCATCCCTGAGCTGCAGGTGCACTCAGTGCCTGAGCCTTGCAATGAGCCCCAGGCCACACTCTCCCCCCTCCGCCCAACCACTCTGGTCTCACTGCGAGTTCCAGTGAGCAGGTCACCAAGGAGGAAGACGGCCACATCTGGCTGACAGATGACTGCAGGTTTCGCTGGCACGTGCTGAGGTTTAACTGCACTGGCATTGCAGCCACACTCCGGGCGAGGACAGTGGGGAAAGGGATGCCTCCCAGGCGGTGGAACTTGGAGTAATCCGCACTGTACCTCTGCCTAGAGGGGAGGTGGCCATGGTGCTGTCTGTCTGGATGGGTGGTCAGGGACAGGAAAGAAGTTCTGGGGAAGAGGAGAGAGGCCTCTCAGAACAGGCCCAAACATACGGAATACTTGTGTCCCACTG